CAAGCGTACTTGTGTACTGCATCAACTGATGGTACAAAGTCCAGTTGCATCATCCGTGCTTGTTTAAAATGTTTTATGTTCAGCAATTTACAATGTATATGTATGTTTGGGAAAAAATAATGTGAGTTACCCACGTTGTGTGTTTTGTGGGGTGTACACGTACCCTTTCTCGCCTATGGTTGCAGGGGTCTCATAGCTTCTGGCCCGCCTCTTCACTGTTTGCTACTAGTCCTCTTCTCTCCCTGCTCCATGAGCTTTATCAAACCTCGTCTTAACTATGTATGGTTTCCCCCCTCCCCTACGTCGCTTTCTAGGCTATTCCACTTTCTGACAACTAAGAAATACTTCCTAACATTCCTTTGACTCGTAGGAGTCTTCCACTTCCAGTTTGTGACCCCTTGTTTGTCCCATCTCTAGAAAATCCTGTCTTTGTCCACCTTGCCAATTCCTCGCAGTATTTTGTATGTATTAATTCAAATTCAAAGTTTATTCTCTAAAGATTACAATGATGAGTTTACAGAATTTGGTTATTGTGTGGTTTACAAGAGTAAAATAATTAGTGTACCACTAGAACACCTAGCATGGCTAGGCATTTCGGGCAGACTTAAATCTTAAGTTTAAAATATTACAAAATTATGAGGTAAGTTGGTATTATGGCTAAGTGACTAAATACTTGTTTGCGAGTTTAGCAATGTGAATGCTTTTGTTTGGCACTATACATAGTGTCGTCAGGCCGATTTCCCGTAACCTTTCTTCATAGGTCAATCCCCTTAGCTCTGAGACTAGTCTTGTTGCAAACTTTGCACTTTCTCCAATTTCTTGACGTGCTTGACCAGGAGTGGATTCCAAACTGGTGCTCCTGGCTCCACCTCTTCACTGATCGCTACTAGCAGTGGCGTCGTAAGGGTGGGGGAGGTCCGCCCCAGGTGACACTAATGTCCAAAATAGTGCTGCACCAACATGAGGGGAAAATCCTTCGTTTCTATATAGCCCAATTAATCATGATTACAGGAATACAAATAGCATTATTATAGAAAATAAAATCATTGATTTTGATTTATAGATGATTTTGAGGATTGAATGCAAGGAGAAATTAAGATGAGATTTCATTGAGGATATTACCTGTACTCAAGGTGAAATCGGAATAGTGTTTTCTGATACTTCAATTTTTTCTCTCTCTCTCCAAATTTACGCTCCATAAATGTAGGATCTCGTTGCCTTGTTACTTGGTGGTTTTTGCGTTATTCCTCTATTATTACTACGATATATATATTTTATTAATAAAGTTGAGAAGTGGTTTCCTGTTCGGAGTTTATGCTAAACATTGTCATGCGGCATGCATGACAAGAGTGGCGTAAGTGGTTACTCCCCATTCCCCGCCTTGGATTTCGAGGGGTTACCACCAAGATGCCGCCCGAGTTAAACACCATCCCTTGCAACGCCAATGGCTACTGCTCCATGAGTTTACAAAAAGTCTTAAAAAACTGTGTGGTTATGCCTCATGACGTCACTAGCCAGAACAATTCCATTTGACAACTCTTGGCTAAAAAAAAAATACTCCTGACATCCCTTTGATTCAATTAGTCTTCAATTTTCCAATTGACTTTGTTCCATCTCTGGAAACTGTCTGTCACACTTTGTCAATTCCTCACAATATTTTGTATGTTATGTCTCCTTAACCTCCTGTCCTCAATTTCGGACAGGCCGATTTCCCTTAACGTTTCTTCGCAGGACACCCTCAAGGAAGGTTTCCTTGATGTTTGGATGAGGGGCTCTTGGATTTTAGGGATATTGGATCTGTGCTCCAGTTCCCGAATTAAGCTGAATGCCTTCACATTCCCCCCCAGGCGCTGTTTATCCTCCGGGTTTGTTTAGCCTTCCCCTTGATTATAATAATCTTCGCAGGACATTCCCTTATCGGAAACTATTCGTTCTTGTTGCAAACCTTTTGCACTTTCTCTAATTTCTTGACTGTTTGTTGACCAGGTGCGGATTCCAACTGGTGGCTGCTTACTCCAGTATGGGCCTGACGTACACGGTGTAGTGTCTTGAACGATTTTCTTACGTGATTATCGGAACATTATTTCAGGTTTGCCAGGTGCCCATATGCTTGCAGCAGTTATCTGGTTGGATGTGCACCTCAGATAGTGCCTCGGTATTATTCTTCTCCAAGATTCTTTGGCCACCTAGCCATACTCTATCTGCAGTCTTTGCCCTTCCCCAATCTTAATGACTTCGCATTTGGTGGGGTTAAATTAGTAACCAGGTTGTTGGACCAGGCTTCCAGCCTGTCCTGATCTTTGTAGTCTTGCCTGATCCTAGTCGGATTTAATTCCCCTCATTAACCTGCATCTACAAACGGGGACACTTCTAGTTTTCCCTTCTGACAATGTCATTCGCGAATACAAAACAGCACTAGGTTCTAGGTCTGACCTATGTGGAACCCGCTTGCCACAGGCGGACCCACTCTGACACTTCGTCAGTACCAGGACTCATTGTTGCCTCTGTCCAGTATTCTCTAATACATTGCAGTGCCCTTCCTGTTATGCATGCCCGATCCTCTAGTTTTTCCACTAATCTCTAATGAGGAACTGTCGAAGGACGTCTTGCAGTCCAAGAAAACTCTATCTACCCACCCCTCTCTCTCGTCTTACTTCCATGATTACTGTGTGTACACTCGCCTAGTTGTGGTTGCAGGGGTCAGTTCACAGCTCCTGGCCTTGCCTCTTCACTGGTTGCTACTAGATCACACTTCCTGCTCCACAACTTTATCATACTCTTAAAGCTATGTATGAAACCCTGTCTCCACTACATCACTTCTCATACTATTCCACTTCCTGTCAATTATGTGACTGAAGAAATACTTCATGATATCCCTGTGATTCATCAGAGTCGTCCCATCTCTGGAACATCCTCTGTCCACCTTGTCGATTCCTCTCGGTATTTTATCATATCCCCCCTCTCTCCTGTCCTCCAGTGTTGTCAGGTCGATTTCCCTTAATCTCTCCTCATAGGACATGCCTCTTAGCTCCAGGGCTAGTCTTGTTGCAAACCTATGTACTTTCTCTTGTTTCCTTACATGCTTGGCTAGGTGTGGGTTCCAAACTGGTGCTGCATATTCCAATGTGTTTGTGTTGTGCCAAATAAGTAAAATTGGTCAGAGTTTTTCAAATTAAGTCCTAAAATTTTCTCTTGTACATTTTAAGATATATTTTTTAATTTGTTAGTGTAAAAATTAATTTTGTACCAAAAGAACCTGAGAAGACTTATCTAACTTTTTTTTTTTTTTTATTATTCGCCGGTATTCTCCCGGCCCGGGTCTTTTCCAAGTAGTGGTGACCCGGCCTTGGCTCCCTATCTGGGGAGTGTCTCGAGACTTAAGTCTCCCATGGGAGGAGGGACAAGTACCTCCTCATCTTTGGGACCAAGTGTCCCCAGGCCTAGCCACATTCCCCGCCCTCACGGGGCTCATAGGGAGAAGCTAGGCCTCTGGTCTGCCATCTACCCCGCCTCGAAGGGGCTCGTGGGGATGGCAGCCTTATGAGCTGCAGATGGTAGCAAGCTCAGGCCTATCTCTCTTATCTAACCTTATTATAACAAGTGCAATTTAATTTAGCCTAATCCAAGTAATTAACTTTTAGACAAGTTTACAATAATTTAATAATCAACAGACACAATGAAATATATATTTTTTTATAGGTTCAGAATTATTTTTGCTAAATTATTGCATACACAAATTTTCGCTTGCCTAATTCAGTGGTCCACCTTGACACACTCCCTCTTCAACTTTTTGACAGCAACTGATTTATTACACAAACTTTGATAATCCTTCCTTTAGCACTCCTCACAACCCCTCCTAAACTTACCATTATTGGCATCTCCACCCTTATTTATTCTTATATCCTGCATCATTTCCTACCCAGCAGTGCTGCATGACCCTGGCAGATTTAGTGCTTCCTTTGATTATAATAATACAATGGACCCTCGACCAACGGTGTTAATCTGTTCCAGAGAGCTTGTCCTTAGGTGAATTAATTTTCCCCACAAGAAATAATGGAAAGCCAAGTAATCTGTTCCAGACACCCAAAAGTATGAAAAAAAAAAAAAAATTCACATGAAATACATTTTCCTACAGAAAAACAAGGATACATGCACAATAAGAGTAGCTTCTGGAGCCACATGCGGCTCAAGAGTCGCAGTGTGCCCAAGTCTGTATATGCACATTATTGCCAACAGTACTTTGCATTATTGAATGTTATTGCACTAGCCTCACTTCACAGGATGCTATATATCTACAGAAATTTTTGCTATGCAAATCACTCGGCGCTGTACGACTCTTGTGGGCTTATTTTGAGTCTTCTCAAGGAAGAGGTGCCTTTGGGGCCAGTGAGGGGCTCTTGATCCAAGGAATGGGACTTCTCCCCTTCTTTGAATTGAACCCAAATGCCTCTCATTCCCAGCCAGTAGATAACCACTGTGGGTTTAGCGCTTTCTCCTAATAAAATAATAAATACCTGTTGCCTCTTCCTTACTGCTTAACTTGGTTTACATGATCCTTTGATTAGCTAAGAAACTATCTAACTGGCCCAGTTTTGGCATTTTCTATAAGTATAAATAGTGGGCCTTGTTTTTAATCTCCACCGGGGATAATTTGGACACTGCCCTGAGTAACTAGCAGCAGCATCAGTGACTGAGGTAAATAAGAACATAGGTTTGAGGCATAACTCTACTGCTCACTCGTCACAAAGCAACAGTTTCATGGGCCAGTGTGTAACACCTGCGTAGCACTTTAAGGAGTTCAGGGTAAAGTATTTTATTAAGATGTTGGTTATAACTATGACCATAATTTTTAAAGGGGTGGACTGGTAAGCCAGTGGAAGGCCTCGGCCAGATGACCAAAAGCTCCAATGACGGATCATTATTTCACTAATACCCGCATCAGGAAACGCTTGTAAGGTCCGTCAGGAAACAGGACCTTACCTAAGTATTTTATTAAACTTACTTTTTCTCCTGCCACAGGTTGTGAGGTAGACTGGTGTGGGCAGCATGGGCCGTGGAGTGGAGATGACAGGCTGTGGCAAGTTTGTCCGCTTCCTCATGTTCGCTATCAACTTTATTATTTGGGTCTGTAGCTACACGAGCTTTTCGCCAGTATTTTGTATGTAATGTACAACCCCAGAGTAGTTTCATAATTAAAATTAGTATACAGTGGACCCCCGCATAACAATCGCCTCCGAATGCGACCAATTATGTAAGTGCATTTGTATGTGTATGTTTGGGGGTTTGAAATGGACTTATCTACTTCACAATATTCCTTATGGGAACAAATTCGGTCAGTACTGGCACCTGAACATACTTCTGGAATGAAAAAATATCGTTAACCGGGGGTCCACTGTATAGGTAATTAGGTTGGGGGGGGTGGGGGTTGAAGGTTTGAAAAATAAACATTTTAAATAAATTCTATTTGTACTTAAATTTCAATAGTATTTTATTTCTATTTAATTGTCCATAATATGAAGTGGGGAAAATTAAACTAGTATATTAATGCTGTCAGTGTCCTGTTGCATTTTGAAGGTTTGGAAAAAAAAAAAAATAATGGAGAAGTTTTTTCTTTATTTTGCAGGTATCGAGCATAGTAATATTAGTGTTAGGAATATGGACAGTTGCGGACCGACCATACTTAGAGCGGCTGCTGGGAAGTGAAATGTACATGACAGCTGCTTATATTCTTATTGGCACTGGCTGTGTCACATTCTTCGTCTCTTTTCTTGGGTGCTTTGGTGCCCTCAGAGAAGTTAAATGTATGCTGCTCACTGTAAGCATTTGAACTAGTTTCCATTTCTTACATGATTTTAATAGTTTACAAGACACATAAGAGCTGTGGTTCTGTGCCCCACATCCCTAGGAAATGTTTGATTAATGTTGCACCCCCTACAAAAGTAATCTCTCACTTGCCTAAAATGCAAATATAAATTAAGGTATTAGAAAAGATTTGGTAAAATAAAAAGAATTGTGCTCTTCATAAGGACACTGTTGCACCCCTGAAATGCCATCTCTCACCCCCTGGAGGTGTGTGAACCCCTAGTTGGTAACCCCCTGCATTAGAATTCAATTTTTCTATTAGTAATGATAAATAACATTACAGCATAAAGAAAACTATTAGTAATAAAGTTTAATTATAATTTTCTTTCCTCAGTATTTTTATTGTTGTCTGCAAAAAAAAAAAAAAAGTAAAATCCCTTGCTTCTCGTGTGAGGGAACCTTCTACACAGCCATGCAACTCGTCACAGCTGTAAGGAAGAAACTTGTAATCTCTTGGCTTAAGTTGGTCAGTGTGTCTAGTAATTGTCTTATTGAAAGACTTGCTGTTCACAAGGTAAAGTTAAAACCTCCCATTAAAATATTTCTCCGATGTATACAAGGGTGATCATGAAGTTCTCGGTGCTGAATAATCACCTCGATAGATGATATTCTAAAGTTAGGTTTTATAGAAATTTTAATTTAAAATTATTTTATAACTACAGTTTTCAGAAAAATAAGGATTGGTAACTACAGCATTTTGACTGAACACCATAGGACAGTTTTTTTTTTTTTTTTTTTTAGCCAGAAGGAAGATATTGGAAATATAGCAACATTTCTGTGTAAGATGCTTTGCCAATTTTAGGTACTACCCGTATGATTTTTTAAAGTACAGCCAATACTGTAATGAAGTTTTCATATTAAGTATTAATCTGGAAAAAACAAACTTCAGTGATGCAAAGAAGTTATTGATGTTGCAGGAGGAAATAACTGGGTAAATGTTTTTTGCCATAAAGTTGCTTGTACTGCAAGTGTAGCAGTACCCATTATTAAATACTGTATGTACATTGTGCATATGTACTTAATGTGTGCAGTATTGGATTTAGAATGGGGGGGGGGATTAGTGGAGAAAGATAATTTTTAATACAGCAGATAAAATCGATGCTATAAGAAGCAAAACACTGGCCGTCTCTAGTTTTGCTAGTGTGAAACTATATAATCTTTCTTTAATTTATATTCCAATTAGCCATCTTAAATTGTTTGAAGAAGAGTTTAGCACTGTATGAATGTAATTGTCAATATCAAGTTTAGATATTTCATTCATTTGGTGATACCCAGTATTTGAAAGAAAATACAAAATTGCATATACTAGAGGAAATTGTAATTTTGTTGTTGTAATAAAAAAATTTGTTACACTTCACTGCAGTAATAAGATTAATTATTGCCCTTAACATCCATTGAGCAAAATTTACTAATTTTTACTGTTTATTGATATCTATGCAATGTGAATAAATTGTTAAAGAATCCCTGTTTCCAAGCCTTTACATTAATTTATAACATGTTCATAACCTTTCATTAATGGTTTCATTGAGGAATTAAACAGTTTTCCACATCCTCTCCCCCCTTGGGAGGTTCTTTTTGCTGGTGATGAGGCTCTTGATCCAAGGAAATTACATTCCCTTCATCCTTGGATCAAACGTGATTGCCTCCCGTTTGCTGCACGATTCTTTGCAATCGGGGGGTGGTGCTAAACCCGTAGGATTATGGCAGTGCCTCCCTGTGGAAGGTATTCAGTTAATTCAGGGAACATGGAGCACAGGTTCCAATTCCTAGATCAGAGCCCTCCCCCTCAAGGAACTTTCCTCAAGAGGATTTGTTGCACAAATACAGAAACTTAACACTTCCCATAAAATTCCTCTTGACTGCCTTCATGGGAGATAAAATTGAGCCGTGTGGTGAATAGGCTCGATTAGGGGGAGGCTATACAGCCCTTGTGGGTTTAGTGCTCGTTATGATTATAAACGATTAGAGGAATTTGACTTTACCTCTGATCCTTTCTAAATAACACAGCCAACTCTCCCCTTTCTATGGGGGGGGGGGAATGTCTCCCTTGGAAAATAGGCTCTCCAAGGTGGGGGGAAAAAAATAAAAGCTCCCCTCATGGAAGGTTCCTGATTGTTTGGTGAGGGGCTCTTGATATAAGGAATTGGATCTGTGCTCAGTTCCCCGAATTAAGCTGACATGCCCTCACGGAAGGTTCCTTGATGTTGGTGAGGGGCTTCTTGATTTAGGGAAATTGGATCTGAGCTCCAGTTCCCCGATTAAGCCTGATGCCTTCCACATCCCCCCCCCCAGGCGCTGTTAAATCCTCGGGTTTAGCGCTTCCCCTTGATTATAATAATAATAATAAGCCTGAATGCCTTCCAAATCCCCTCCCTGGCCGCTGTATAATCCTAGGGTTTAGCGCTTCCCCCTTGATTATAATTAATAATCCAAGGGGGAGCTCTTGGTACCGGTGAAGAGGCTTCCTCTGGTCTGAGGAATTAGACAATTTGGTTCCTTCCTCATTGAATCTAATTACCCCCCCCCTTTCCTATCCCATCCTCCCCACCCCTATTTTTCCCATCCCAGTTGTAGCCTTTGGGCAGTGGTTCCCAAATTTTTCAGCTTGTTACCAATTTAACATTGCCACTAAAAGCATGTTACCCCTTTCACAAAATGTTATTGATATTCAGTGGACCCCCGCCATAGCGACCTGAATCCGTGCAAGAGGGCTGGCCCTGGTTATGCGAAACTGTTCGATTATGTGAATGAATTTTTCCCCATAAGAAATAATGAAATCAAATTAATCCGTTGCAAGACACCCAAAAAGTTTGAAAAAAAAAAATTTTTACCACAGGAATATACATTTTCTACACACAAAGAGAAGGATACATGCAACAATAGTAGAGTAGTACATGCCACAATATATATGTGCATGTACTACTTAATAAATGAAGAATAAATGACACTTACCTTATTGAAGATGCGCTGTTATAATCCTCGGGTTTAGCGCTTCCCCTTGATTATAATAATAAAAATTTACTGAAAGATGCAGCAATGACTGATGAGACACTGTGTCCTGGGGTGCCTTTCCTCCTGAGTATGTAGGTCCTGTTTGTATTTTCTTCCAGAACGGCTTATCAGTGTAATGTCACTACGATTCTTAAAATCTCCTCAAACCAACCTTTGCGGGCTCTAAATTCACCAATATGAGCATCTAGTTCCAGGCATTTTCCCTAGTTCACTGGGTTGTTAGTCGACTGAGTGTGGTTGCTATCCTGGGAGACAAGATTAAGGACCCCAATGGAAATATGTTAGACAGTCTTCGATGACACTGACTTTTTGGGCTATCCTGGGTGGCAAATCCTTGGGGTTAATTGTTTCTTGGAATTCTCAATAAGCCACAACCAACAACGGTGCTACAGCAGCTAGAGCAGCAGCTGACGATGTTACAGCAGCAGCAGACGAATGCTACCGCAGCAGCAGACGATGCAACAGCAGCAGCAGACGATGCTACGCTTTGCTACAGCAGCAGCAGACGTGCTACAGCAGCAATGGACGATTGTTACAGCAGCAGCAGACGTTGCTACAGCAGGCAGCAGCAGCCAGCACTGACAGGTGGGGTGGTACAGCAGGCAACAGACGATGCTACAGCAGCAGCAACAGACGATGTACAGCAGCAGCAGACGATGCTACAGCAGCAGCAGATGATGTACAGGAGCAGCAAGACGGTACTACTGCAGCCAGGAGCAGTGACGGTGGTACAGCAGCAGCAGATGACAGTGCAGCCAGCAGCTGACGGTGTGATACGGCCCCAAGGGCCAGCAGCAGCTGTACCACCAATAGTTGCGATGGTTGATTCGGGTTTATTAGACAACCTGGACAGCTCGGAGACACGACTCCACTTTAACTTATCAATGATCTTTTTCTTCATCTCCATAGTATTTCTCACCCCTTATTGCTTAGGGTTGGCACTAGAAAGCTTTCGTGGGGCCCATGGTCACCTTATTTTCCAGAAAAAAAATCACCAAAAAACACTGTAATAATCAAATGTTCCGATTGTATGCTTGGATGTTACCGCGGAGGCTGGCTGGTAAACAATTGCCCCGCAGGAACGTGAGCGTGGCTCAGGCCACACATTGGACGCGTCTCGTCGAAGGCCGATGAGCGGGTTTTTGGGCGCTAGTGCCCCGGGGCTCAAAATTTTAGCGATCAAAGCATCCGCTATGCGGATTGTCCGCTTATGCAAGGTGTCGTTATGCGGGGGAGGGTTCCACTGTATATGGCTCTAAATTAAAAAACACACGAGATATTTTCTTTTTATTTATGGTATTTGAACATTGTTGATCTCTAAATGACTTATTCCAAAGATGTCAAGAACATCAGGTGGGGATGGATGAGTTGCATAAATTGAAGCTAGTTTAGAATTCTTGGCTTCGTGGTTGAAAGTACCAGCCTGGCATCGTTTGCAAATTCAAGGGGGTCCTTTTTTTGATTTTCATACCCAGCTCAGTGAGAAGCCCTTCTCGCACAGATTACGTTGTTGTGAATGATAAACAAAACAACTTCAAGGCTCTCTTGGACAGAGTTGGCGAGTCAGGTAGTCATGAAATCCAAAAGGCATCTGCATTTTGTTTTGGAATTCGATTTTCAAGGCTTCTTGGCCTCGCATTGTGATCCCTATCCTTTGCAAGGAAATCATAATCATGAGGGCATCATCAGTACAGAGAAGGGATGAATGATCTACATGAAGTAGTGGCTGTTTCTTGGTCACTCTCTGGAAAGTAGTGATGCATGCTTGTTCCAAGCCCCTTCAAATGGTTGCTCATTTCTTGATATTACTTATTATTATTATATCACAAAAGAAGCGCTAAGCCACAAGGGCTATACAGCGCTGCAGGGTAGGAAGGAAGCAATGGGCTGGATGCAGAAGGGGAAGGGGGGATGATCAGCAGGTTACAGAAACGCGGTGCAGGGGAAAGCGATTTC